TTTTTTTTTTTTTCTACCTGCCATGGAAATTAATGAGCTTGAGGAGTTTGTTTTGAGCAGTCTAAGGCTTGAAATGTTTTTTTTCATACATAAAATTATTTCCAGTTCACGATTTCAGTTTCTTCACTGTCCTTCACTGATTTGCAAAGATTTCATCTAGTTTCTAAAGTGAAAAAGATTATGTTTGGCCCAAGATTCAAACAATTAAATTTTTAAACTGAGTATATTAAATAAAAGTGAAAACATACAAAACTGTTTAATTTGATCATAAAGAAAAACAATGAATTTAATAAATTCTTGCTTGAATTTTACCTATTTTAGTTTTGCTAAATCCTTGTAAGATGAAGGTTTAATGAAAAACTTTTTGAGAAAATGCTACTGAAAAAGGTTGGTACACTTTCTTGTTGAAAATGCTATAACAAAGGTAGGTAGATATTCTATAAGATATTTTAAATATTAGTTAATTTGTTATTATCAGCCCAGTATCACTATTAATCTTGGCTCCATGATACAGGGACGTTTGGCCGGTCTCCGGCGGGATCCCCACCGCCCGAATTTAGCGATGACATGCTCGGCATCAAATGGAAAACCACTGCTGATGGCTACCATCTCCGGGTGAGTTTAGGGCCTGTGTCTGATGATCAAGTTAATGTTAAGATCAAGGGATCACAGCTCATTGCTGAAGGCAAAAAGGAGGATAGAATTCCTGGCAGCTGCATTGCTTCAATCCTGAGGTTCAAGGTGGATCTGCCCATGGATGCCATCGAGCCCGACGAGTTCACGGCCAAGATGGACGGTTGGTTTCTGAACGTGTTCTTCCCGAGAAAGAAGGTCGGTGGTGAGGCCAAGAAGGGATCCTATGATGCTTGAGAGTGAATGTGACTGGAATTTGTTGGAGAAAAATAAGAAATCTGATGATGATGTTATGAAGAAGATGGTGTTTTGTCTTGTGTTGAAAAATTCTCTCTGCTTAATTTTATGTGATGGTTCTTCATTTTCTTTTGTGTTTTTTAGGGAAATAAGTAGTTTTGGAAAATTGCACCAAATTTCTGGATTAATTGAGTTAATCTTCACAACTACAAGACCTGTGAGAAAATAATATAAAAAAAAAGGCAAACAAATATTGACGAGGCTTATTAGTTATTACATGAAGAAATACATACTCACTTTTTTTTAGCCATTTCATACCATGCAAAATGTAGTATACTAGTATAGTCGTTTTTTTTTTGATGTAAAATAACCATATTACCCTTACTAAGGGTTTGTTGGACATCGATTAAAAAAAATGGTAATAAACCATTACATCAAATTAATCCCAACCAATAAGAGTTGGTTCAAGTGGTAAACAACTTGATGTCGTTTAAGAAATGACTCGAGTAATTCGAGTCCTTATGAATGCAGAAACTTTTGTTGGGAGACTCATCCACCATTATCAGGTGTGTGATCCGAGGTGTGTGATCCGGGTCGACTAACAAATTAGTCGGGACAATGCTCCGGATATCGTGACTGATTACCAAAAAAAATTAGTCCCATCTTACCATTTCTTCCCTAAAGGAAATTGCTTCCAAGTACTTTTAGAAATTAATTTTCCGAAACTATTTTTCGGCATATATATTCATGAAATCTATTTATCGAGAGAAGACAATTTTGGTTCATAGAAATCATTTTGACTTCTAGAAAGGAGATAAAAAAAGTTCTTTTTCATAACAATATATACGGAACCCACAAAGTTGACTCAAGTGGTAAGCAGTTTGATGTCGTTTAAGTAAAGTCTCGGGTTTGAGTCCTTGTGGATGCAGAAAACCCTTGTTGGGAGAATCACCCACCACTGCCAGGTGTGCGACTCGAGTCGACCAACGAATTAGTCGGGACATAGCTTCGACCAACGAATTAGTCGGGACATAGCTCCGAATACCGTGGCTGGTTACCAAAAACAAATATATACTGATCATATCGGTGCAAGAAATTAAGTTGGATCATATCGGTGCAAGAAATTAAGTTTCCATAAACTATTTCTATCATACGTGCAAATATTTACAATTAAATGAAAATGAAATAAACTACTTCTTCTTCTTTCAATTTCTCTATATTCTCTTTTATTGGTTTAGTTAATCGCATTATCCCCTTTTCATATGCTGATGTTAGTTAGTTAATTATATCATTAGAGATTTTACCAGATTCCAATTGCTGCACTTTTCATATCAAAGGTGAAAGGTTAGTGAATAATTAATATATTGCTAATAGAAAGCTAAATAAAATGTTCATTTTATAAACCATTTTTTTATACTTCAAATTATGATTGGTCATAAAAAGTGTGTATTTTATATATTTATTAGCGTATTTTTATATGCTTAATTTTTATCGCACTTATATGTTTTTAGACTTATTTATTTATTAGATGGATTTG